ACAATAAAATACACAAGGAACACATTAAAGAATGCTTGTTCTGTTCTGCAATGAAATACAAGACAAAGAAAATTTGGAAATCGCTACTTTATTATTTGTGTTTTTTCATACTGTCTCAAGTTTTCCTGATTTGGGGTTGTAAATGCAGACGTTAGATTTGAAATCTGTGCCATGGTCACTTCTGTGTAAAATGCATCCAAAATCTGTGATAAATATTTTGTGTGAATCATATTCAGTGCTGTTACTGAAGAACCATCTGAAATAGATAAAACAAAGTGGTGCTTTAACAAGAAATGTCCACTGAACCATGTATTCGCACATTGTTATCAAAAACACGGACACATAAAGTGCAATTTGAGGTCCATAAATACCATCAGTCTAGACACACGACAGCGACAGATGAAAGAAGCACATTTCATTCATTCATGACTGCTGACAAACACATTAATGGCACTCTTTTCCTGCTTCTCCAGACATTTTACAAGTGCTTTTTAATTTTAGGGGGGAAAAAAAGTTGTTTCCCATCCAGTGAGTCACAAGTGAAGTGATTTAAAACAATCAGTTTGACTTAAATAACCCAATGACAGCTCGCTTACATAAACTGACAGCACATGGGGCTCATAGTCTAATTAAATGGATGATTTCATGTTTCTGTTTTTCATGTTTTCTGTTTTAGTTATAGTAATTTAACCCAGGCTCATTCTGATTACGTACCCCTATATACATTTCTGGAGAGCAAAATACGTCCTGAGAGGTACTTTTTTTTCTGTTTTTTTTTTTTTTGTGATTCCACCAGAGGCCGCTGTGTATGCTTTTTCAGATCTCGAATTTCTTTCTGTCATTCGATCCTGTTCTTGCGTTAATTCATCAGAGGCAGCTGTTGACTGACTGATTAGCTGTCGTTCTTCCCTAGACCCAACCGATAGTGTTATTTACTTTTATTTTTTGTCTTTTGTTTTTGTCTTACCTGGTTTCTGGAACAGTTCTTCACTGGATGTGAATCCCGTTGTCTAAGGCCCCGTTTACACTAATGCATTTTAGTTTGAAAACGCATAAGTTTTGCTACGGTTACGCCATCCGTCCACACTACGCCGGAGTTCTCGAGCACCGAAAACGGAGCATTTCGAAAACGCTGGAGAGGCCGTTTTCATTCTGAAATGCTGCTGCTCCGTCTTAGTGTGGATGATGGAAAACGGAGACATCTGAAAACGGAGGCGGGGCTGCAGACATTCGCCTCTCTGATTGGGGCTTTTCCTCACTATTAAGTAGCCTAACACACACAGTTCAGTCCTGCATCCTCTCCGTGTAAGTTCAGACTTCGCAAGTTTGATCAAGGCTGCAGTCTCTTCTTCTCAGTTTGATATGGACAACAGACTATACCGAGGACACGGGTAAATCTTTAAAGGGAACAGTGTACTTTATAACTTCATTCACATCACCCTGGCTACGTTGTTTCACTTTCTCAACAATAAAATGTAAACATGATTTAAGGAACTGCCTATTTTCATTTTAAGATTAGCAACTTAGACAGCAGAAATGTTGAGGTGTCGTGCTGCATGAGCGTCATCTTCACTGTGTGGATATTTATAACAAAACGGAGCCGATAACAACTGCCTCCTTTCAATTTCAGTGAAAATACGAAACACACCCTTTCTTTTGCTGAATATCAGTTTTAATAATCGATAATGGCCATTATAAAAGTATAACATACAATAAGTTTATACATTGTAGGAAATAAAGGCAAGCGATCAGTCAATATACAGAATAGGCTACGTGGTTACATTAATCAACAACTTATCTTTGCGCTTAGTCAAAACACGTTACCTGAGAAAACGTAATAGATTCCAATGACCAAAGTCAGGGAATATGTCGTTAGATAAAGTCAACAAGATGAATGAAATATCCCGTTTAATAAATCTAGTGAGATTAGATCCAGCGGGAGATGCTTGATGAAGAGTCCGACTAGCACAGCTCTCTTCTGGGTAGATGGGCTGCAGCGCTTGACCGAGAGTGTCTGTGTGGTCACGTGATGTGCGTTTTCAGCGTTTTGGTGTGGATGGAGAGCAGTTCAGAAACGCTGGGTAAAACGCGAGTGTGGACGCTGATCGTTTTCATTCTAAAACGCCGTTTTAAAACTAAAACGCACTAATGTAAACGGGACCTAAGTCAACTCCACTCTGCATCTCAAGTCTGCTGACATACTGTACTGGACAAACTAGTAACAGTGGAAAAGGTGTCAATACAGAGGTAAGTGGTCAGCTGCTAAGTGAGAAAAGGAACGGCGTTATACTGCATTAGCATTTGTTTTAAAGATGATACCCACCTCTGTAAAGCCATACGTACTTCTGGCTACATGATGTATATAGGGCTACGTTTTCAGAATGAGCCTATGTTGCTTAATTTTCTTGATTAAGTCAATTATTTTATAATTTATTATTTTTATATACAAAATGTTTTATTTATTCTATGAACATATTTCAAAATAAAATATGTGAGTCAGAGATGGAGATAGGTTTGCATGTTTTAAAACAATCAAAATGTAATACAGCTTTATTTATACAGATATTCAATGTGTCCTGTTTAACTGTCACTTTTGTTCAGAAAACCACAATGAATAATTTAATATCATATTAACTCACTAAATATCATTCAGTGTGACATTTTTTTCACTTAAAATATAATAAAACTTTATATGGTTATTTTTATTTTTTTTTTAAATCTCAGAATACGTAAGTTGTATGCATTTTTTTTTTACCCTAACCCTGTACACATATTTATTTTAATGATAGAACATCGTCTATATTTTGACGTGTTTAATTTCCCAAAATTAAATTATAAAAAAATATTGTATACACTTTATATACAATCTTTTACTCATTTAGTTCGAGTCCCGGCTGGGTCAGTTGGCACTTCTTTGTGGAGTTTGCATGTTCTCCTTGTATTTGCGTGGCTTTCTTCAGGGTGCTCAGATTTCCAAAGACAAGTGAATTGGATCAGTTAAATTGGTCGTAGTATATACAGGTGTTTGTGTGTGAATGCTAAATTGTGTTTCCCAGTACTGGTTTGCAGCCAGTTGTGTAAAGGAACAAATTACAAGTTACTGTTCACATTTTTAGTGCTGTATCAGTGCTTTTACTCCACTTTTTTCCAATCTGCAGTCACTTCTTTATTTTGTTCTTGTTTTTGGGCAGGGGCACTGGATTTTGATTGAGCACCCTAATACTAACTCTGGGGGCCTCAAAACTCCCGTCCAATCATATCGCACATAGAAAGAAAATTGCATCATAGTGAGCTACGTCAAGACAAAGATGCTTTATACATGCAGAAGAGACTGTTGATGTTGCATGTCACTGATGAGAAAATGAAGGATGTCGACTGTTTGATGACTGAAATCACTAAACTATGGAGGACCAGAAATGCCAGTTAGAAATAAAAGAAAGAGTCAGGTTATCAATTTAATACTTGAAGCCTTAAAATGTATATAAATAAATCACTATTAAAATGCATAATTAATGGACAAATAAATAGACATATTTAAATGTGTTTATTAAAATTGTGATTTAATTATCTTTCAATAAAGCAATAAATCAATGCATTTATAAATACATTTTAAATGTACAAATAAATAAAACATTTTATAATGTTCATTTAAAATTTTTTTTAAAACGCTACTTAATCAAACAATAAAAAAGTATATTGAGTCATTTCAAATGCATTTAAATGCACAATTAAAGTGGCTTTTTAAAAAGGCATTTGACAAATGCTTTTCACTCACTATTTGCCACTTGCTTTTCTTTTTCTTTTGCTACATGCTTTTCTCTAGTAAAAATAAATCAAGTTTAAAAATGCCATTGGACAGTCCACACATGGGATCAACCAATCAACTTTCTCCTCAAGTCGAATTAAAAACCTGGCCATTTCTCAATTCCAAGAATGCAGCAAACAATTGTACAGAGAAAACATTCTACTTCACAAATCTTTTACTTGCTAAATATCACATCCATAAATGCAAATTCTCCAATAATAAACCGCTTTTTAAGGTATTCATAAAAGAATTAAAACAATACTTTAAAACACTTTCCGATTCAGGAAACACTAAGCTTTACTTTTTCTTTACTTTTTTTATCCCACCGGCATCCTCTATGTCCCTTCTATAGTTCATAAAGTTTCATTATGCTGTAACAATTTACTGTTCAATAATAATAAAAAAAGAATGCAAAGAACAGATTTTGAATCATTCTTTTGAAGAGCGGTCATGCCAAGTCTCCTCTGAAGAATGAACTCGTGAGACCGCGAGAACAGAGATTGTGTCCTCTGAGAAATGAGATGCAGCGTTCTTCACGTGAGGTCACGTGACCTACACGCATTTTTAACCAAAAACTATTTAAACATTACAGCATTTATACAGCAATTTACTGTGTTTCCCCTTTTCACAATATATACTATGCATAAATACTTTACAAATATATGTTGCACAGCGCAAATAAAACATTTTATTACGAATTTCAACAAATAAACACCCTTAATGTGTTTACACCTTAATAAACTTTTTTCATGGTAATGTTTACTTTGACCATTTGATTCAGGAAAACTCCTGATGTAAATAATTATATCTCTTCAGCGAACAAGATCGCGTAAAAATGCATATTGAGAAACAGCCACCCTTTCAACCTGTAAATGAAACTCCCAATTGTCATTGGACAGAGATAAACCATGGCTCATTTTAGCGGGAGTTTAAAGATCAGTGAAGTGACTCAAATGTCAGGGATTTATCAGCTTTAGCTGATTTCTGTTAAAGAAATTATTCCTCTGGAGTATCACTGTCTGCATAGAAAAGTTTTCATGTTAAATGACTAGCTGTATAAGATATATGAAAAAGAACGTGAATTTTTTTTTTTTTTTTTTTTTTTTTTTTACAAGTGATGCTTGAGCACACATTGCTTTTAATCTTATAAACACAACCAAACCTTATAAATACACTCTGGACCACCTCTTTAACAAATCAAACACCAAAGAGAACTAAAATAACATCATTTAAATATTATCAGGCGGTAAAGGAAGGAATTCAGGTTTTATTTCATACAAAAAAACAGTTGTGAAAAATCACATTTATTCCACAAATGGTTATTTCAAAAATAACCAACAACAAAACATTTTAACCGACTTCTTTTGTTATTATTATTATTATTAATTATCTTCACAGAATTCTAAACTGATTGCTGGTGACTGTTTACACAGTTTTGCACTGAATTAAATATTTTCACATTTAGTTTCTTGCTGCTATCACAGCTGGTAAAATCTATGTACAAAATAAAGGTTTACAGTACTCATACAATTTACTTCAACAGTGTCTTTTTTCTTGGAAAATACCGATACAAATCTTTTGCGTGTTTGCATTTTTTACTTCTTCACATTGTGCTTGGTAGAAAATAAGAACTTCTTTGTTGTTATAAAGGGGTTATAAAGTGTGCGCTGGGGTTTATTTACATGCGGCAGGATTGGTGTCATGTAATTTGATGCGGTGCTTCCAGCATCTCCATGAGGAAAGTGTCTATAGGTGTGTCTCCAATGAGCTTGAAGAAGAACAGATGCTCCAGACACTTCAGTCCAATGGAGCGCAGAGCTGGGAGACGCAGGAGTAGCTTGGCAAACCTGAGAGCAAAAACAGAAGTCTTTAATCTTTTGCTCCAAAATATGATCAAAGATGCTCGAGTTTGTTTTTGGGTGAAAGTTTGTTTCTTGAAACTCTTTCAAACAATTTGTGGTTATGTTAGATTGTAGTTTTTTAGTGAATTTATGACTCCAGAATGCAAATGACTTAATGAACTCTCCATTTTTGATTCCTAACAGTGTGTTTGGACAAGATAGACATGCGTTCTTCTCCAGGCTGATCATAGCACTTACAGCTGACTGGACTTTTATCAGTGTTTTGTGATTTTCCTAAAGCTACTTGATAACTTGTAAAGCTCAACAACACTTTGCTGTGAATCATAGGTCTGTTCTTTGGTTTTACCCATTGTGATAAATTGTTCGGTCTTGTCTTGGGAAATATCTGTGGATTTATCATTGGAATACTCTATTACATTCTTCTTAAAAGTTCTGTATGTAAGTTTTTGATTCTTCTAAAGCATAAAAATACAACAATGTGTTTGTAGATATTTAAGGAACTTGCTAAGTGGACATTCTTGAGCATATCTGAAAAACAATGCTGAAGTCAGATATTCTGTTTTGAAAATGTGCATTATGGGCCAGAATGGCTGTCTTTTTTTTTTTTTTTTGGTTGTTTTAACCCGCCCACTGCCACTTTAGCCAATTATATTGTCCGTAACTGAAATGCAACCTCTGGTGTACAGTAACAGCCTCAAAATGAGATGCAGATTCAGAGTTCCACATGAGGTTGTTATTAATTAGCAAGTAATATAAATATCATGAGCGTAAACATTAGGTAAGCAGGTTAGATTGTAATCCCATGTCCTAACAACATGCTACGTGATCAGATTTGCGGTGATAAGCAATTTGGCTGTTTGCACCAGACAGAAGCAAAAAATAGTGCATTCACTGCACTCCAGCGAAATGGTAAGGTTTACTATTTAATTTATATAAATATACACATACACAAACACACACACACACACACACATATATATATATATATATAAATACATACATACATATATATACATATATATATATATATATATATATATATATATATATATATATATATATATATATATATATATATATATATATATATATATATATATATATATATATATGTATATGTATGTGTGTGTGTGTGTGT